TCAGGAGCAGTTGGGGAGAAAATGGGGAGTTCATCCATGCCCACCTGTAAGGCAGGTGTGCCCACATGACAGTGGGACCCGCTGTCTGGCGGCAGCACTTGCCCCACCACTCCCACACTTTTGGGGAGGGGTGAGGCGGGGATTCTCAGCAAAGAGAGGCCAGAGTCAGCTGTTCCCAGCCTGGGGAAGAAGCCCATAGTCTGTAAATTGTCTCAGGGCACACATTTTTACTTATTAAAAAAATGGCAGGCCGACGCGGTGGCTCAAGCCTGTAATCCCAGCATTTTGGGAGGCAGAGGTGAGGGGACTGCCTGAGCCCACGGGTTTAACAGCCTGGGTAACTTGGGGAGACCTCATCTCTACAATAAATAAAAAAATTAGACGGGGGTGGTGGCACGTGCCTGTAGTTCCAGCTACTTGGAAGGCTGAGATGGAAGGATTGCCAGAGCCCAGTAGGCTGAGGCTGTGGTGGCCGTGAGCATGCCACTGCACTCCAGCTTGGGCGAGAGTGAGACTCCAACTCAAAAAAAAAAAAAAAATTGGCAGAGTTTCCAGACTCAATAAAGAACTCTTACAACTCAGCAATAAAAGGACAACTCAGTTTAAACATGGGCAGAGAATTTGAATAAACATTTTTTCCAAAGAAGATATACGAATGGCCAATAAACACATGAAAGGTTGTCCAACATCATCCGTCATGAAAGAAAGTCACACCAAAACAGCAACTAGATACCATTCATACCCTCTATGATGACTATTAAAAAAAAAAAACCTCAGAAAATAAGAAGTGCTAGCAAGGACATGAGGAAGTTGGGACCCCATATGTTGCTGGCGGAAATGTAAAACGGTGCAGCCACTTTGAAAAATCATCTGGCTGGGCTCGGTAGCTCAGCCTGTAATCCCAGCACTTTGGGAGGCCGAGGTGAGTGGATTGCCCAAGCCCGTGGGTTCAAGACCCGCCCGGGCAACTTGGCCAGACTTCATCTCTACAGTAAATCAAAAATTAGCTGGGCACAGTAGTGCGTGCCTGTAGTTCCAGTTACTTGGAAGGCTGAGGTGGAAGGATCGCCGGAGCCCAGCAGGTCAAGGCTGCGGTGGCCGGGAGCAGCCACTGCACTCCAGTCTGGGTGACAGAGTGAGACTCCAACTCAAAAGAAAAGAAAAGAAAAATCATCTGAATAAAATAAAAAATTAAAATTAAAATACTTAGAATTACAAAAATAATCATCTGGCAGTTCCTCAGGAAGTTAATCATAGAATTACCATTTGATCCAGAGATTCCACCCCTAGATATCTGCCAAGAGAATTGAAAACACGTGTTCTAGCCGGGCTCAGTGGCTCAGCCTGTAATCCTGTGCTTTGGGAGGCTGAGGTGAGTGGACTGCCTGAGCCTGTGGGTTTGAGACCCACCTGGGCAACTTGGCGAGACCTCATCTCTACAATAAATTAAAAAATTAGCCGGGTGTGGTAGCGTGCCTGTAGTTCCAGCTACTTGGAAGGCTGAGCGGAAGGATCGCCGGAGCCCAGCAGGTCGAGGCCACGGTGGCTGGGAGCGGCCACTGCACTCTAGTCTGGGCGACAGAGTGAGACTCCAACTCAAAAAAAAAAAAAAAAAGAAAGAAAACACGTGTTCACACAATAATTTGAACACAGATGTTCCTAGCACCACTGTTCATAATCGCCAACTCAAATCTTCATCAACTGATGACTAGATTAATAAAATGGGGTATCACCATACAATGGAATGTTATTTGTACATAAAAGAGTGAAGTACTGAGAGATGCTACAATATGGTTGAACCTTGAAAACACAGTCAGGGCTGGGCTCGGTGGCTCAGTCTGTAATCCCTGCACTTTGGGAGGCCGAAGCAAGTGGATTACCTGAGCCCGCTGGTTCAAGACCAGCCCGGGCAAATTGAAGAGACCTCTTCTCTACAATAAATCAAAAATTAGGCTGGGTGTGGTGGCTCAGCCTGTAATCCCAGCACTTTGGGAAGTCAAGGAAGAGGATTGCCTGAGCCCGGGGGTATGAGACCAACTTGGTGAGACCTTGTTTCTACAACAAATCACACACACACACAAAACTAGACAGGCACGATGGTGTTCATCTGTAGTTCCAGCTACTTGGAGTATTGAGGCAGAAGGATCGCCTGAGTCCAGCAGGTCCAGACTGCGGTAGCCATAAGTGTGCCACTACCCTCTAGCCTGGGTGACAGAGTGAGACTCCCACTCAAAAAAAAAACCTAGCCGGGCGTGGTAGCAGGCACCTGTAGTTCTCGCTGCTTGGAAGGCTGAGGTGGCAGTGAGTGTGCCACTGCACTCCAGCCTGGGTGACAGAGTGAGACTCTAACTCAAAAAAAAAAAAAGAAAAGAAAAAGAAAACACAGTCAGTGAAAGAAGCCAGACAGAGGAGGCCATATATTATATATGATTTATATAAAATATCCAGAATAGGCACATTCTAGAGACAGAAAGTAGATTCGTTGTTGCCCAAGGCTGGGATTGGGGGTGGTAATGAGGAGTCACTGCTGACGGGTATAGAGTTCTTTTGGGGGTGAAAAGATGTTCTAAAACTAGATAGCAGTGTTAGTTGGTTGCACAACTTCATGAATATGCTACAAATCACTGAATTGCATATTTTAAAATGGCAAATTTTGTGGTGTGCAAATTATACTTTCAATAAAGAAGCTGTAGGAATGTATGCAAAGATCACCAAAAGAATTAAGTCTAAGCACTTTTTGAGGGGAGACCGATTTAACTTTAAATTTTAAAAAGGTTCACCTTTGCGGTTCTGTTTCCTCATCTGCAAAATGGAGATGGCCATTCCTGCTCCTGGGCCTGCGGGGGCACCAGACACTGCAGGGGGGAGAGCCGCCCTCACCCCGAAGCCTGCGTATGGGATCTCCAATACCCACATCCCAGAACAAGGAACGCATCTGTGTGCACATCCTTGCAAACCGTCTTATGTAGTCCTCATAACAACTTGTGGGGGAGGTTCTAGCAAACGTTCTGTAAATGGGAGTTGTGGAAGGGCTGGGATAAGAGAGTAGGAGCTGGACTCTGACCAAGGTGCTGCCCAACTCAAGCTGATGCTCAGGCATCATTCCCCATCTATGAAGCGGCTGTGTTGGTGTGACGTGGGGTGCGTGTGCTTGCACATGGGGCCGTGAGTGCTGGCACACCCTCAGGACCTCGGGCAAGTCACAGAACCTTTGTTTTCTCACCTGTAACTGGAGTGATGGTGGTAATGCTGGCCTCCCAGGTATCAGGTGGGGAATATTTGCAAAGTGCTAGAATCATGGCTCATAGTGAGTGCTATGCATGGGTTTGTCAAAGTGATGCATGATATATGTGAATCGCCTAACAGGAGACAGGCTTCTGTCACCTTCCCCTTCCTAGCATGTTGCCTCGGTCCTTGCACTGGGTCTCAGGACCCCAAAAACTGCCTGTGACTTTTCTCCCTCGAGGCTCTAGGCCTGGGCAGGGAGTGGCTCCCCACAGTCTGGACCCCAAATGTGCCTCCCACTCTGGGCTCCCTAAAGATCTGGGGGAGATCTTCAAAGGTGGTCTGGAACTCTCCATCCCATCCCAGCATGCAAGAAAGAGAATGCAGGCAGGAAGCACAGGGCCTCTGACCAGGTGATCCACAAAGGGCCAGGGACCCTCTGGATGTCTAAGACTGTGCAGGATTGCTGGACTGTAAGGGACTCTTCCCATCTGACTGCTCTGTGAGGGAGGTGCCCGGCCCAGTCTCGAAGCCACTGGAGCCAAGGAGACTCTAAGTGAGTGTGGTGGCTTCCAGGCTAGGTTTGGAAATAGCTGCTCTCCGCGGGCAGGAGCAGTCGGATGTTTCCTGCAGCCCTGATCATTTGAAAGGGGAAGTCTCAGTGAGAAGAGGGGTTGTACAGTCCTGAACCTCATTTGTCACCCAAGGGCCGTGGTGACAGACACCAATCTCCTGCATCCCAAGGCAGCAAACTGAGGCCAAGGGGCTGAGAGGTTGAAGAGGGTTGAGCGAGGCTGAGCGGGGCTGAGAAGGGCTGAGGGGCTGAGGGAGTCCGTAGGACTGAGAGGGCCTGAGTGGGGCCGAGGGGGGTTGAGCAAGGCTGAGTGACACCGAGGGACTGGGGGCTGGGGGGG